ATCCTTCCTAAAGGAATTCTTTCCTCCCAAGCTGCAAACTTTGATGACGAGAGCAACACAAAACCTGGCTGTCCTGCTTGCGGCCCAAGTGTAGACGAAAGTACTTCAATCAGTACCAGTGCATCCGGAGCTGGCATTGTAGATGTTCAAGCCAAGAACATAGATGATGGGGCATCTTGCTTGCCTCAAAATTCATCTGAAATAGTGGAGAGTATCGTCCTTGGCGTTGACAGTTTTCCCTTGGAGTGCACTGTTACTTGTACGACTGTAGAAGCGTTACTGTCGTTAGCAAAAAATCTGCAGGTCTGACGAAATTTCACGACTTATTTCAGTCAACTATTTCTAAACACATTTGATTGTTATACGCAAAAGGCTTAAAATATTTACAAATTTGACTACTTTCATCTAAATTTTTTACATGAAAAAAAAAGCTCCGGGTATTTTTAGTGGTGCTTTAAACTTGATAATATCTACCAGTCATAAGTAGTCAATTAAGTTTGTTGGAGACCCCCGGGGACTACACGATGACCAGGCCTTGTATGCCTAACTCTATTTATGTTGTATTTTATCACCAGAATAGTCGGTACTACAAAAGTCATTCAGCTCTATTAGAAAATTAGTATGTAGTTGGTCAAACTCTTAATTGAGATGCGATTTCTGATTTCGAGTACTTAATATTTCTCAAATGTTCAAATTTGCCCTTTCCAAATAGAGCTGGGTTTATGGTCCGTTAGTGATGAACTTATTCTGATTAAAATAATATAAAAATACAAATTGTATTCCCTCCAGCAATATATATTCTTCATTTGATCTATTGATTTTTTTCCCCCTTATCTTCCCCCTTGCTTTTGAATTCCCTTTTATACTTTTACTCCATTGAATTTTCGCCTATATTCTCAGCATTTTACACTAACTTTATTCTCTCATATATTAGGTGTATCATCCTATTTCGTTCAGGCAACCCCGGTGGGACTCGAACTATGACTCAACAAGTTAACCACTATTCCACAGTGTTATGAGTCCTCTTGGGTGGGGTGTTGGTAAGACCTAGGTGATGTCGAAACTTAAATCCACTCTAGACGAAAATACCTTTTGTGAAGGCAAGACTATGTGAAATTCCATGGAAACGTCTTGTCTACTCATATCATTGTGGTAAAATTCAACTACGAGTCCTTCATCACCTTAAACTAAATTAATATATACATATATATATATTTATTTATTATGCTGGTAATCTCGTAAGCTTGCTTATAAACGAAAAATTCTTCTCTTATATTTTGGTTGAGGTTTAAATGCTATTTTTGCCTCTATATTCAATTTTATACTTGTTTTTTACCTTCTCTCTATTCTTGTTTATGGCATCAAAGTTATCCTCGATTTTTCTGTATTTTTCCCTGCTTTTATTTACATTTATTGACTTATTTCAATAACTATGTCCAATCTGTAATGTCCTATAAAATTAACTAATCTAGGAGTGATACTGTAAAGTTTATTTTGGTCTTAAAATGTCAGATGGCATGCATGACTTATAACTGTCATCTTTGTCCTACTGTGTTTAAAATGGAGTAAACTTTATAGAGGAAATTCTTGTAAAGGTCATAAATATTTCCAACAAATTCCCTAATAAAACATACTAGGGAATTAAAATTGAAAGAATTACAAGAATCTTGATACATTAAGAAACCGTAAATAGGGGCAAATTAAGGAGAACACGCAGAAATCTACAAAGGAATAATCACTTAATACCTCAGGTGGATAAAGGGGTCGTAGCTTGGATAATGGACATGGAGTAATACACTGAGAAGTTGTAAGTATACTATGAGACAGAATCATATATCATGTACTACATAAGGAGCCAACTAAAAAGATCAATGGAGCTCCACAAGACATATTCCAGGAAGTACATGCGAATGGAAAAATCGACAGATAGCCAATGAATTCACTAGTTATAAAGGACATATTACCATTAACAGCTTAAGCGTCACCGAAGATATACAAAGAAGTGGAACCGCTAAAGCTGATAGTGAAAAATTAGCGAAAGCAATGCAAGACCTGGTGAGGTTTATATGCTTTAAGCTCACTAAATTACTCGACGGGTAATCAAACACAGTCAAGAATTCATCCGAATTTTATTAGATGATCAACCACATAGGACTGGATAGAACAAAATTATTAGTAAGTTTTGATGTAGATTTTATGTATACTTGAATCTCTGGAGAGAAGGTACTCATCCTCTTGCTGAACAGCGTTGCTCGAGTAAAGGATATCCTGGAAACTTAGAGGATCAGGAAGGAATATTTATCACGACTAACCAACTTTTAAATAAGCATCAGCAAATTCTCATTCAGCGGCATCTATGAACAAACATTTCCGTTTCCTATAGGTTTGTCGCTCTCAATTTTATTAGAAAGTGTACCTATAAAAAAAATAGAAGATAAATTTGAGACGTCACCTCTGAAACGAGCAGTGCTCATGCTGTATCTGAACCATTACTCTGCTCTTTAGTCACGAGCAAGAGGACATTTAGCTGAATTCTTAACATTAATGAATCTATTAAATTAAAAATGAATGTAGAGAAGGCTTGGCGGCAACCTTTCTTGAATGTCGAAGTTGTTCGCTCAAATAGGACACTCAAGAGAAGAATCTTTCGAAAGAAGTTCTTATGCATGAACAATTCTCAATTTCCATCTTGCGAAGCAAATAAAAAACTATGACCAATATTAAGAAAATAAAGTGTTTCGGTTATTCCAAAAGAAAGAAAACGCTATTCAAAAGCTTACCCACACAATATTAGAGGATAGACAAGTTAGATTGCTCGGGAGTATGCTGCATAACATGCGGCTTCTGCTAGCAGAAATGCACTGGTGAAACTGGTAAAAAACAGCATACTAATCAAGGAACATAAAATGGATAAATAGAGATAATAAATAGCGGAACACATTGCAGTGATTGGACACGATATCAATGGGAAGGCAACAGAAAGAATGGACCCATGGCGAAAATACTAGGGAATAAAAGATTAGGGAGAGCCTCGGTATCCTTGCTAAAAGAACTTTAATGGATAGGAAATTGGAAGAAGGCATAATTAAAGAAGACTATGATTATTGCTTAATGAAATTCGGAGTAAACAGGGGGTAGCAGGGTTAATAAAAGGGGACCCTTGAATCAAGGATCTGTCGTTAAGCAGAGGAAAAGTAATCGCAAGGAAGAAGAAGATGAGGAAAATTTGGAAATCAGGAGAAAACGTTCGAGGCGAATTTAATCAACTTGAGAAAAAACTGCATCTTTTGGTATGCTATTTTTTAATGTATGGTATATTGTTTTGATTATGTTTGTCAGAATACAGATAAAAGCTTAATTCACTTTGAGGCAGTCCTTTTTCAAGTTCCAGTGAGACCATTTCAGGTGACGAGAAAGATTTGAATAGGAGTTGTATAAATTGTTCGTGGAGTGGAACGATCCAAGTTGGATGAGTGATTAGAAAAGAACAAGAAGGGCACAAAATAAATCAGTAAGAGGTTTGATAAGACTTTACTAAACCCACAAAATAAGACACATTTCTAAAATAGTTCAGCATAAACAAGTTAGAAGTTTGTGATAAAAAGGGAGTGATATACGAAAATAGAGAGCATGTAGATGTACCATGACTGAATGAATAATGATACCATAATCGTTAGGTTGAGGGCTAGCCAAGATATGGACTACCCTTGTCTTAGTAGTAGCTTGCTTCTAAGAATGGCAAGACTCAATGAGGATGCCGACTCCGAATCCGATAAAATGCCTGTGAATGTATCGCGTTTATGATCCGATGCTGGAAATCGTCACGACAACTTTGGAAAAGGACTATTGATATGGGGCTTTCATCTAGGTCGCCCTGACAACACGAACAAGTGGCTAAAACGTGGTAAAACCTTTATCTACCATTTCTATTTTATTTAGCCCTTTATTATTCGTTGGTATGCCAATAACGATGCTAGGCTATACAATACAGTTTTAACTTTACCTTTAATTCGACTTAAAGTGTGCGACGAAAGGATTTGTTGGTCGATCTCACCAGAAGGCTGAATTGGGTTTCCTTAATAATCTCTCATTTAGTTTTAATAGGTTTTTCAGATTGAAGCGAACCTCGAGACGCCTCCCTTAAGCAACGGTAAAAGTTCGCTGAGCTTTAATCTTTCGTATCTCTTTTCGGTGCTCATTATTTTTTCCATAGTGAGTGGAAAGTTCTATGTGCAAGTCTCACTTATTTTTCTTCATAAATTATTTAATAAAAGGATCTCAGCGAAGCAGGCTTAAACTACAACTTTGGCGGAACTACAGCCTTACTTTTCGCAAAACTTGATTCTTCCGCCTCCCTGTGCTTCATACTCTCTGCTACATTACCACAACGGATTTAAAATGATCGTCTATATCATCTCACACAAGTAAACCTCGCGACTCTGAGCTTACTTTTCTGCATACTTACTCCTGCCACAATAATAAGAACTCAAGAACCCTGACAATCGCTAATTATACTTCACAATTACCAAATTATTTTACATCTTTTGTTTTTACTACACCCAACCTCTACCTGGTTAGTCTAGTAACGAACTCGAAACTAGGCTTTATACTAATTCGCTTGGGTATTATATATTCCGCTGCTTCACTCTTCATTGATACTCCGTAAGGCAGCAATTATGAGCACAAGATGGAGAGGGTTAACAAAAGTTCTTCTTCAATTTTGAAATAAATATAGTTTAAGAATTAATACTCATAAAAAGAATAAATAACGTACGAAATGTATTGCTTTATCTGATCCGAAGTACAGTGCTTCCATAATAGCCTTACTTATAATCATGATCATATATGGTTTTATGAATTAATTTATCTATCTCTTTTTTAACCATCCCCACAATTAAGAATAATAGCCCCAGTAAAGTCATCTTATTTTTCGCGAGGAACGCCAACTTTACAAAACTTATCTAAAATTTAACCAAACCTGAGACGAGTATATTTTGGTCTTCCTATCCATAATCTAAGTAGTTCCTAATGCATCTCAAACAGCATATTTGGGTAATACACGTTCATCAGGCATCCCATCGGCCTCAATATTGGTTACAATTGCAAAAAGATCTTGTTGTGACTCCAAGTGATTAAAAACCTCTGGTGATTCTTTATCATTAGAGGCGTTTCTCAAGCATCGCTATATCTGCCGCCCATTTTCGGATTTCTGTAAGCCTGTCATAGACCTCTAAGGGGGTAGATAAGCATCCCTTTTTGTTTATGAGAAGCTACATGAACAAATAAATATCAAAGATCGGGAATTCAAC